TGCCGCCCCTTTATAGGGATCATTAGGAGATATGCTTTAATGCTGTTTACTCACTCAAAATGCCACTGCAATGTAGCATTTTGTAGCAAATTTTCACATATCTTAGCATTTAAAGACTATATTTAAACTGTGAGGGGCCACAAAATTGCCACATATGGGATTTTTTTTAAAACTCAAAATCCAGGTCAAGAYTTCTGAAATTCCTCTTCAACTTAAATCTTAAATTATTCCTGAAACTTGACAAAACGTATTTCAGGATCACATGTGTTAGGACCGTGGCTTTATGTTTAAACATGCTTTGGCCATGCAGCAGTACATTTACTGCAAAGTGTGTTTCCAGCTGTGTGAAAGCAGCCTGAAGCCAATCGTTGAGTTTGAAGAGGTTTTCAAATGCTTCAGCCAGCGCATGACAGGAGCTGTCAGCCAGGCATACAGAGAAACCATTTCTATTTCATGACCCTTTCTCACTCTCTCACTGTCAGCAGCTACCACTGTTGCTTTTGGCAAAGATGCTTAACCAAAAGAGAAAACATTCAAAAGATCACGGAATCAAAAAATTCTCATTAAAAAGGAAAAAAATAGATCTTAGGAGACATAAGTTTGCATTATGCAAAAATAATAATATACATAATTAATAAACTAAGAAGCAAAATGATGAGAAAAAACAAAATCAGGCCAACAGATGACACAAAACAGCCACAGAAAATGAACATTAATGCTAAATCATTAAAGTGCCTGTGACATTCATACAGTCATATGAAAAAGTTTGGGCACCCTTGTTAAATTTTCCTCATTTACCTTCATAAATCATTGATTGTTTGGATTAAAAATATCAGGTAAATATATCATATAGGGGACAAACACGGTCATATTTGAGAAGTGAAATGAAGTTGATATGATATATTGAAAGTGTGCAATAATTGTTTWAACAAAACAACCTGCAAAACGGCTGCAACTCATGAAGTGAGTGAGACAAAGCTAAAATCTGCTCGACTTGTTCTKTGAGTCTGAACGTCTTGGCCCTCACTGATATTCTTTTTGTGGTTTCTGTTAGTCCTGCTGTATAAACACCTTCCTAAGCCGATATCAAATTATGTTAAGTCGTCCAAAATTAAATTACAGGCRTCTAACTGTTGTTTGCCAGCTCAGGTATCAGTCAAGTTGCAGATACAATGTTAAAACCAGACAGCATTGATGTAAACTCAAATAATTTTTCTGCACAAAATCTCATTAATGCAAAAACAACCCTGTTGCTTATCTTTGCAGGAGATAATTTCTCACCAATAAAATGTGTCTTTATCAAAATAAAAGCTTCACATAGCAAAAGACTTATCTAGATTTTTTATTTTTATTTTTTCTGGGGGGGCGGGTGAGATGTAAAACTCAAACACACTGCTCCTGCCCGTGTCGATTCTCGATTGCAGCGAGAGATTATCACCCACCTCTCATCGAAACTGAGTGAAGTCTCCCTCTGGCAAGTCGACCCAAACATACCATCTGTCGCACTGGCAGGGTGCAGCACCGCCGTGTTCTGCTGGTGACAATCTCTTCTAATATTCAAAGAGGAAGACTGAATCCTTAAACAATAAACAACATTTATTCACCGTTTTGACCGTCTTAACACACAAATATTTCTGGCTTAATAAACAAAACTCRTTTTCTTCATTTTGCTTCCTTTACAGCTCAACAGTATTGAGCTTATTTGGATGAACAGTAGAAGAGAAACAAAGCTGAGATAATCTCACATTAACTAACCAAAGCACAATAAACATATTGTTATAAAAAAGGATTAAAACATTTTTTGTTTTATTTAACAAAAGACTTTTTCTTTTAAGCTGACAAATTCACAGCAGTTTCTCTACCCCTTTAAAGAGCCGTCTCCCAAGTGACTAAGCAATGCACACTTGAAAAGGGAAAAAGAAAAAAAAAAATGTCCTGGATGTGGCGCTGCCATGTTCTCGTTCTCTAAATCACCCTGAAAGCACTGACATTTCTTTCAGGTCCCACAGGACAAGGTGTTGGATGGAAATGAAGAAAGAACTGGGACATAAAGAGACACTTACTCGCCAGGAGCTAGCGTGGGGCTGCTTTCTTTTCCTTTTTCCAAAAAACACGAATGTCGCATCCAAGAAAATTGTGCTCTTACACTATTTATGTATTTCAAATAGCTTATTTCTCCCTGGGTGCCGGAAGAGTGTTTAAAAATGCATGCCTATGCCAGGTGGAAATGTCAGAGCTAAGAGCAATGTGTTGTTTCCATCTGCTAACAGACTATTTGTGGGCCTCTCTTGGTTTTAGGCTTTTTTATTATTATTTTTTTTCTTTTTCTGCTACTGCCCACCTCTGAAAGTTGACTGGCAGTATTCCTCAGCAGGKTTGAGGAGCACTTCAAGATGAATCTGAGTGTTTTTTCTTTCTCGCGTGCTTCAGACGGAGCTCCTCTCTGAACTCGTAGCTGAGGAGACCGGGCTCCTCGGCGCAGAGCCCAGCGTAAGCGTCTGCTAAGGCACGAATGTGCGGGATGGTGAGGTGGGTGGGAAGCAGGACGGGGTCCACGTCGGCCCTCTGCATCATCTCCTGCGTCATCTCGGGGCGGTGCGCCTCGGGAAACAGCATTCTGCGGAGCGAGATGTGAGAAGGTTTGATGGAACCAATCGTAACATTCAGGTCACTTTGATATCTTCATGACGCGTGCAGTTTTAATGGCATCTGAACATTCAAACAGAAAGAAGTGATCTCTCTCTGCAGTGCTTTCAAATCTGAAAAGTTAATTGAAATTACACGAAAAGCTGCCTGAGAACTTTTAATTTTAGTCCACCCTCATGCTATGTAGTCAGGTGATGTCAGGAGATTTTTAGAAACATCTGAGTCTGAATTTCTAATTGACTGCAGCTGAAAGCTAAATCAATACACGTGTGAGTATCAGTCTGTTACCAAAATAACTTGTGAACCAAATTGATTGATTAAAGGGGCAATATTATGTGTTTTATATGCTCAGGCATATATTTAAATACTATACCATAATAAAGTATATTTGTCACCTTTAGCTGTTATTAAAATGCTGTTTTTATGTTTAAATTGAAAAAAAATATATCTTCTCATCACTTCCTCTTCTAAACCCCTTGAAATTGGCCTCTGTCTCTTTAAGAACCACCTTCCGCTTCTGTCTCGCCCATTTCAGTGCGGGGGAKGGGGGGGCTGCYATGWTGCAGTTTACTKGGCATCTGAAAATACATTTCCTCAAAGGTATTTTTAATCTGAAAAGAGCTTCACTGAATGAGAACTAATGTTGAGAGCTCAGCAGACAGTTAGGTTTCACTTTCACCTGAGAGCCTGCAGGATTCATGGGCGGGGTGTGTGGGGAGGTGGGGGGTGCGCGCTGCCATGAGGAAGTTCGGCTTAAAGACACATTCCAGGGGCGTTTCTGGTCACCACCTGTCGTTTTGCTCCTCAGCATGGCTKCCTAAAAACGCTGCAGGATTTCTCAAACATGCATGAATGAGTCAAAGCAAGGCTTTGGGCATGTTTTTTATGCGCGTATAACATTATAACAAGATATAAAACTCAAAGTTGATTTTACATGATATTGCCCCTTTAAAGGGAACACTTCATTAAAATCCACTTTTTTAGCCATTAATTATATTTTGTTGTGTACTTGGAGTCTTAGGAGTCAAGAAAATTTGAACTTAAGTCTCTTCTATTCTTTTTGGGTCATATTTTTCAACCTGTTCGGTTTTCCCTATTTTCTATGACTTTTTTTTAACTATTATGCCAAATTATTTGTGACGAATCCGCCAAATATGGTCTGAACTACAATTTCATCATCTTCATTCTCCTCTGGCTCTGGGTCAGACTCTGGYTCCAACATGTGAGGCTGGATGGACAAGTCTATACAAACTATAATGGACCGCTCTGGAAGACGGAGGGGTGTGTGTGTGTGAAGCGCCTTGTTTGGATTTAAAGAGACAGCCTCAAAACAAGTTGATCTGAGACAAACTTCAGAAAAGGAGTGAAAGAGGGGCTTGTGGAGTTACAATAAGGTGGAATTTAGACCAAAGCATTGCAGTTCCACTTCATAGAGATCCTAACTAAATGATTTAAATGTGAAAAAGGATTTAAAAGCATAGGTCTCTTTCATTGGATGTTCAATTACAACTGGTTAAAATTTCAAGTCAATACAATTTAAGATGCCTGCCACAACGAACTAACATAAACTAATTAAAAATCACAGCAAAGCTGTCCATCTAACCAAGTGTTACTCTTACATCAGCCAAAACATTTTTTGATCTTGTTTTGAGACTGATATACTAAACAAGAGCAGAATGTGTCAGATTACTAATATTAGACTGAAAATTCTCCTTATTTCAAGACGTCTTACCATGTGCATTTGTTTTATTCCACTGGCAGATTATTTCATTTAATTTGAGAAGATTCAGACTCAAATTAGGAGAAAATGTCCAGGATAACAACATTAATAATGTAACACATTCTGCTCATGCTATCAGTCTCAAAACAAGATCAAAAATACATTTTGGCTGGCTATAAAAGAGTAAGAGATGGATGGATGGACATTTTTTGCAGTGATTTCAGTCAATTTCACAATAGCTGAGCCAAAATTTGATGTAGTAGAAGCTGAGAGTGTTTCATAACACACTCCGAGCAACATTTTGAAATATTTGCACCAAAAATGGCTACAACTCGAAGAGTTTTTATTTCAGTCTAAACCTCTGGCATGAAAAGCAGCAAGCAACGTGCATGTTTTAAAGGAACACCAGGCCTTTAATGTGTCAGTGGGTTTGCAAACATTAGCCATTTCCACACWCTGTGAAATACAGATGCTCTTAGGTGCTTCACCACCAATTCTGCCTCCAAATTTGGTGCCGTGGCCGCCAACCTGCTGCTGTTATATAAAGTGTGCAGCTTGGTCTTCCTGTGCCAYCTCAGTGACTCATAATTGCTGCTCTCTTTCACACGAGCCTGCGTTCTTTTGTTAGCCGGGCCTACATACGCTTCCCCATCAAGCGTGGGGGTGATGGACAGTGATCACATGCATGTGGGGGAGTGGGTTTGTTGTTTTGAACATGGCTCTGAAGTTGCTTCACTGTTAAGGGTTTGGTTACAAAAAGCATCAAAAGCTGTGTCTTCCTTTGTCGGAGCGGGGCAATCTAAAGCCACTGTAATTACTGATGAGATGAAGACACAGCTGTCAGAGAGCAGAATGAAAAATGTAGAAGGAGAATGAAACATGAGTTAAGATTAAAAAGTAAGAGAGAGAAGCTGAGGATAGAGGCCTCGCCAGTCACATGGAGTTTTATAATCATGCTTACGCTATTCCTTTATGGCAATGCTTCCTGCGGAACTGGAAAACGTTCCTGACGAGTTTCTCCACCAGCTTGAAGGATTGTTGAATCTGAGCTTGAGGCAGTGGGGTGAAGTGAACAACTCCCACATCCACCTACACAGAGAGAAAATCACAGCAGGAGAGTTAGCACAAACCTTGAAAATGGATTGAAGTGTGTGCTCGTAGAAATGGGGGGGGGTTGTCTGAGGGAGCAGACAGGTGTGATGAGAGAGGAGAATACAAAGTGTGGAGAAGAATGCCCATCTGCCAAATGGCCAGAAAGATACAGAGTAAGACAAAGAGAGAAAATGAGAGCGATCATCTCACTGGGCTGAAACAAAGCCGAGGGGCAGGAAGTGGCGTGACGCAGCATGGCTGGGTAGCTGCTGGGTTCCAGTTGCCACAGTAACACCTGTGCGTGGACCAAAGAAACTGAGCCTYGCCGTCGCCGCATCACCAGGGAGTTCCTTAATACCCGTAAGCCTGACTCACGATAGCTCCACATTACTTCCTCACAGTTTCTGTCAACAGAAGTCTCATTTCCACTGAGTAACTAACTAATACAGAACAAATATAAACAGATCCAGTGAGAGCTTCATTAAGAGCTTACATCCTGCTGAAAAGAATGAACTGTTTTTAACACCTTCAAGGTTGCAACAACAAAAAAAGAAAACTATTCCCCTCTAAATCCTCGGTTTCAAAGCTCAGCCTAACAAGCATATTTTTGAATAATGTTTGCAATGAATGTAAATTCAACCAAGCAGAAATATTCCCAAACTAAAGCTTTAGCTGCCATTTATTTGTCTGATCCRTTCCCACAACTGCCTGAGATTTAAGCTGACTCTGAATTTCTAGCGTTACTCAGTGTTAACTCTACCTCTTAACCCTTCGTTTGGAGCCATGAGGGGGTAAGGATTGAAACACTCTACTTCAAATTACCCTTCTACAAAGATACGCCCTCAGGTGTTGCTGATTCCAATCATGTTCCAATACATAATGCCACTACGAGTTATCCATCATACATCAGTCTTTTTCACAATGGCTTTAATTAGTTCACTATAAGAACTTAAAACCTGACATGCATATCCTTCAAATACAAAAAGTCAAAGAAAAATATTCAGACATTGATTTTACCCATTTTGTCACGTAACTGACATTTTTTCTTTTGAATTTGATACGGCCAAAGTGAAACAGGAAGTGACATCAAAGGGGAACTCTTTAAAAAGAGGAACTCCCTGGTTTGAACTCTGATCTGAGTCTTCTTCATCCCTTTGATTAGCGACTCAAAATAATTCAAAGAAACATCAGATTCTTCTCTAGTCTGTTAGCCATTGTGGCTAACATGCAGATGTTCCCCTTTGACACCACTTCCTGTTGCAACTCACGTGAATATCTTAACAACTGTTCATCTCAGTGGCATGAAATATATTTTGCAATATGCTATAATTTTAAACTTTCCAAAAATACATTCATATTTATCACAAAACTATGCTGTCACAGGCGCTTTAACCAACAATGTAAACTTCATAGATGTCAGAAATCTGTTGAAACAGTTATATTTCAAAGGGTGTTTCAGATTTCATTTAACCCTGCATGTTAGAGCTGTTGTACAATCAGGGCAATGGTCCATTTCATGTGGACCAATGGCAGCGAAAGACAGTGAGCGGCAGAGCAGAGTAGCTGACCGTCTATCTTTCCATCTTAGGTAACAGCCTTACTTCCCTGGTGAGGGAGAACTGAACTGAATAACACACCAAGACGCTGAGCAGACTAACAATGGAGCTCCATGGAGACATTTCCTCAGCGTTAGTCATAATAATAATAATACATTTCATTCCAGTCAAGTGCTTTTTGGCTTTTAGTGTCTTTCAAGATGCTTAAAGTGGGTTTTTTTAGAGCCAGACAAAAATAAGCTTTTTTATAAATTACTCTTACATCTGAAATGAAATTATTTGAGATAATGAAGTGGRAAAAAATGACTTTTTCTGGTATAGAGCATACAACTTAAAAAAGGCAAAAACATGAAACCTCACAGAAATGAGGGGGGAAGCAAAGGTGTGCACGATGATGATAACGAGTGAATATCTACGTAATTGCCGCAGTTTCATTGAACTTTAAAAGGCAAACAAACATTACCCTAAAGACAAACCTTCCCTCCTACACACACGTCATAGAGGTAAAATAAAAAGACGTCTAATTCAGCTCAACAGTCCTCCTGTTGTGAACACAAGCCCTGCGGAGCTCCTCATGCACGTCTACTGCTTGGGTTTCTAGATGGTGTGACTCACTCATTCACAGCTGCCTTTTGCTTTGGAGCTCGGGGCTGGTCGCGATAATAGGAGGGAGAAAGCTCAAACGGTCCAAGAGCGTGCAAACGATTTCTAATGAAAGATGAAGATGCCCCTTTCCTMTGAACAACAGAAGAGGCACTTGTATAATGCAGCACTATCTCTTATCAGATCTATAGATCGCTGTGTAGTCCAGAGATGCTGCTGAGCTTCCTGCCGCAGTGGCGTTTAATGGGACGGCAGCGGTGGGGAGTGTTTGTCTCCACAGCCCTGAAGGCTGTGTGCCGGAACAGCACAGAGAAAGCTTCAAAGTATTCAGTTCAGCTTCAGATGCTATGACAAGGAAGGTGGAAACAGGAATGTTCAAGCTGTATTTAGCTGTAAAATAATTTCACTTTAAATGTTGATTTTTGTCAGCCACAACAATAAATGATGACGTCAGGGTTCATTCACAATAATGTCCCTTTAATTTACATTTTAAATAAAGGACATGGTGCAGGGATTAAAAACATGAATTCCTCCACCTGTCAAATCAACGTGATCGTGATTTTATATCTGGATTTGAAAAAAAAAATGCTTTTATTAATCCTTCAGTAACGCAAGATCAGACAGACCACCATCGGCTAGGAAGAAGCAATAAAAAGGAATATCCTTAATTTCACTCTCTGTTGAAATAATTAGGCCATTTATATTCCACATTTCATGATTTAAGAGAGGAGCAAGAGGAAAAGTCGATATTGGAACTATGCAGGCAGCATTTCACCCCTTAGGTTGTCCAAGTCATTTCGCAACTATGATTTATGAACGGCCTTGCTACATGGCTCGACTAGGTAGCGCCGCTGTAATATATCCCACTGCCTGTCATTAATTCTCTCTCTGATAACCTCAACATGCAAGGAAACTCAATCTTAAATCACACAATGTAACCTGGCCCTGCATCTGGAGGTGTTCTGAGCATGTTTTAACTCTGTGAAACTTCTAACTTCCTCGACCTTTACAGAGTAAACTAATTATAGGAGGGACACTGGCTTCCTGACCCTAAATAACAGCTTAAATGTCTGTCCGTGTGGTTCAGCTGTCTCCTCTTCAGCTGTACTGAAGTAGCAGAGAACGCTGCAAATGAAAACAGACGAGAGTCGGACATTCTTTGACAAATGTCACTARGGATGTAACAATCAACCGCGAGTCAATCAATAATCAATTATAGCTGCTTGAATTGTGAATCGACTGGTAAAAATAAATGAATCGATTTCATTGTAAGTTATGTCTTCAAGACAGTGTTCAGCTTGGTACGTGATAACTTCTGGTCACACAWGGATTTATGATGACATTTTTATTTATTTAATTTAATTTGAAGACAACAGACAGTTACAGCTTGACACAAGGACAAAAATGATCTATAACCAAACAATTAAAATTTTGGATAGAAAATCAGTTAGATTTCAACACTCTAATATTCTTRAAAAACTGAATATGATGACCTTTGATAGTTTTATTAAATACTTCAATGTATCTTTAATTTTTAAATGTTTGAATGGTCTAGCTTCGTTGGTGCTGAGTGACCTGGTGGTTCCTCTTAAATCTGGAGGTTCTGTAACTCGAGGTGCATCAAGGAAGAACTGTAAGGTACCTTTTCATTTTGGTCAAACTGCATTTTCTGTGCAAGGCATTAAAATGTGGAATTCTTTACCTGAGGATTTGAAACCGATTCCAGACTGGCACATTTTTAGATTAAAACTGAAGGAATTTCTTAAAAATGACCAGATTTGTAGTCACCGTTAACAGTAAACTGTGATGATTTTAAGATGGCTTGTTAATTTTATTCTGGTATATTTTAAGTGTTTTTAGGATTTGTATTGTATGATATTTTATCTTTCATGTTGTTTTATTGTTTTTAAACTTTATATTGTTAAAAGCCCATCTGGGGACGAGCATTGCAAACTAGCTAAGGCTGTTATCGTGTTCTGTATTTGTTATATGTAACACGTGTCCCCATGCAAATACAGGTGGGAAAAAAATGGCTACAACTCAGTTTGTTGAAAAATATAAACTGAAAATTATCGTAATCGTGGACTTAAAAATCGATATTCGAATCGGGGCTTGAGTGAATCACTACTAGGGGTGGGAATCTTTTACTATGTCACGATTTGATTCGATTCAGATTTTTGGGGTCATGATTCGATTCAAAATCAATTTTTTCATTCAAAACTCAATGTGAGCCCATTTGTCGTGTTCCTAAAGTGCTTCATCTTCATTTTGCAAATTTTGAACACAATGAAGCTCATGTCAAACTCAGACTCATTCAGTAAAAAAACAAAATGAGCCCAAATCTTTGCATTCAATGAAGACAGGGTCAGTTGAATCTCTCTTTCCTCCAGTTTTGTAGTTTCTTCTTTGTTTTGGTGCTTTCTGCGCATGCATACATTCCAAAACCAGCTCCATACGATGTCAGGACRTCACATTGGGACATTTTAAATCGATTCTGAATCTTTGTAAATGAGAATCACGATTCCAATTTAGAACAATTTTTTGGTGCACCCCTATACATCCCTAAAAGTCACTATTTTTAAAGTTGTATTACTCATTCGGCTTTCTTTGACTCTAAATTAATTTAACAACAACAATCAGTTTTGAATTGGATTTTCCATGAACAGAAACTTGCTTAGAAAATAGAAAGTAATTCATCTGCTAAAGCTCAAGAGAAGAGCAAAATAAGAGCCGATTCCATCTAAGTCACCCATCTACTTGTGTCCACAACTTTCAACCATTTTTGGTCCCACTAGAGAACTAAACCTCGACATCCATATTAACATGCTTGTGCATTAACATATTTCATGTTTGACCTTCCCAAAGCTCAGCAGGAAACTATTACTCCAGCTTTGCCCTGTGGTTCCCCAGGTCCATTTTCTCCTATACCACCTCCGATGTGTCTTTCTTGGTGAGTTCTTGGCCGATGGGGCGCGAGGAGTAATTTGTCATGTCCCTCTAAGCGTAACCAAGATGAGATGGCAGGGGCCCCGGGGCACCACCTGAACCACCAGCGCTTGTGCTTACATAAAGAAGTGCTTGGAGAAAGAAGAAGAAAAAAAAGTAGGGGGATGGAAGAAAGCTATAAACAGCCAGGGAAGAGAGAGCAGCTCACAGAGAACGTGCAACCAAAGCAGTAAGAGCTGCATTAATCATGACAATACCTTGAGAAGACAACCTCTATTACATCAGTGGAAGAAGCTACCTTCATCGAGAAGAGAAGGCAGCAGTCGGTGTCACAGAAAATACCAGGGTAATGCCAAAGGTGTATAGGAGGAAATGGGTTTGACTGGCTTCCTACAGCATATTTACCAAAAAGAATTGGCTCACGACATGCACAGAGGACACCATAGTCTTTAACAAGATCTGCTCGCTTGAAAGATGCTTTCGTCACAGAAAAGCAAAAACTTTGCCTTAGAATGTGCACTTTACCATGCCAAAAAAAAAAAAAACAGACAGCATGGGAAAATATCTCAGTGGCGTATTTTAAAAGATATAAATGTCATTCGCATTGTACGCTTGGGAAATTTCAAGTTAAAGATTTGCCAGAAACATGAAGAAATCTAAACCCAGACCCTACACACACAAAAAACCAGTGTTGATAGCAACATCACAGCTACCAGACAACACCTTGCATCCGAAACTGTGAACAAACGGCCCTTGCAAGACGATGAGCACAGAAAACCAATTACGCAGGGGAAGACATAAAAGAGGAAAATGCAAATTGATCGATAAAAGCTCCTCATGTGGGCAAAAAGACTGTGTGGCCGATTTGGCTGCGTCTCAKAGCTATGCTGCAGAAAGGCTCCAGAGCTCTGCTGTAGGGTGATAAAACAAAGGGGACCACACTTTACAAAAAGCCCATCGCACATCGTAGCATCACACGTCTGCACTTACAGAGTGTTACGTCAACTGCATTTTGCCCCTCTCCTTGCACTTTTTTTCTTCCCTTTTCATCTGTTCCCTGGATAATCTAGTTATTTATTTATCTTACTCCCAGAAGAACAACACAGCATCAGCACTTAAGATCTTGTCTGTTACAAGGAGAGCGATCGCACGTGCCCGGCCGTAGTGTGTCTGCAGGAAAGAGGAAAAATGTCTCCTCCTGCTGCAGTGGTATCCCACAAGGAGCTCTGTGGATGTTGAGCTGCTGCAGGTTGAAACCCACATCAAATTGGAAGTAATGCAGTGTGCACCATCCCACAATCTGGCCACGTCGCATTTTGAAAAAGGGATCTCTTGGGGGGTTGTTTGTGGGAAAAGACGAATATAGGGCGAGGAGTCAAATTGAACAAACAAATCAATAAGTAAACAAATCAGTTGCCACCAGTGTCTTTAAAGACAACACGCTGATGCAACTAATAACTGATAATTTCCTACCGTGAGCTGCTGCTGCTCATTAGTGCATGCAACAAAAAACATTTATTAATTGTGGTCGATTTACCTCCCCACAGGGTCATTATTCTGTCCTCTTTGTCATTCATGAATCAAGGCCACCCTATAACCACTCCCTTCCTTGTTATGTCCTCTGCAGACAGGAGGAAGAGACAGGGTAGCAGCTGTGAGTTTTAGCCTCCTGCTGACTGATGAAGACGACGCTCTGGGGAGGGTCAGTTTTGGCATGTTGGGGTACACATGCTCCTCTGGCCTCTGGTTCGCCACATAAACTCACAAAGCCTCAGAAGACTTAGACTGACCCATTCTCTTAATATTAATGACAGCAGCTATTTCTTCCGTCTAAATTAGATTACCCTTCCCAGCTGTGCAGCGAGGCCGTGATTGGAAATATTATCGTGACTTCACATCTCTGTCAGTTCTTATCTTGTAGCAACAGCAGCGCTGCATTATGATTACCACTGCTCGATGCAGAAATGTGATGGCTTTAATTCTGTTCATTTACATTACAGCGCAGAGAATGTTTTCTCCATCCAGAACAGCACACAAACAGTTCATCATATAAAACCAATTACCAGCTCTTTTATTAACAATATGCTGCAAAACTTTATGTTCCAGTTAATGATGCAAAACAATGCATGTCTAAACATAAATGTACATCGATTCCACATTATAATCATACACATGATCAGATTCAAGTTGGTGCAGACACGATCCATTTCTCAACATAATGGTACTGATTAAGCAGCAATATACAAATAAGGTCCACACATCATATATTATTTAAAAAAATACTAAAGTTGTCTGTTTTATGGGGGGAAATTGGTACTTCCCATTTAATTTAGTTTATAAAGTTTATTAATTTCTTTTAAAAAACAAAACAAATTCTATATAATCATACACATGATCAGATTCAAGTTGGTGCAGACACGATCCATTTCTCAACATAATGGTACTGATTAAGCAGCAATATACAAATAAGGTCCACACATCATATATTATTTAAAAAAATACTAAAGTTGTCTGTTTTATGGGGGGAAATTGGTACTTCCTATTTAATTTAGTTTATAAAGTTTATTAATTTCTTTTAAAAAACAAAACAAATTCTATATACAACAAGAAAAACAAATCATAAATTAAATGAAAGGCAGCAGAAACAAGAAAAATCATATATCTGCCTCTTTTTACAAAAAAATATTCAAACAATAATCTTCAAATAACAAAAAACAAAAAAATAACTCCTTCTTGAGCAACAATTCATACAGATACAAGTTATCCTAAATCATATTTATCTGTGACTTCAAAACAACATCTATCAAAAGATTACTATGAAAATAGTGACAGGCTTAAATTTTAAGTTCTGAATAATAAGATGTGTTAATAAAATTAACCAAATGCACAAATATRGCCATTTATTTAAACTACAAGTATATGAAAGCACATTCTGTAAAATTTAAAGCTGATATGCTCACACTGGTGTATGGATAAGTGTGAAATAATTCAATATTAACACATCAGAGTGTAAACATATGGCTGCTGTGTTGCTGGAGAAGATTAATTGAAATAATTTTGCTACRCTTTTGCAAACAAAATTTTGAAGATTCTGAAATGATCAAAACCACACCAAAGTTTGGATACAAGTTATTAGATTTTCCTGTGATTTCAGAAATGTTCTTAGGTTTTATTAGCCTTGAAGCCAAAGGTTAAAAATTGGTGGTTTAATATTTAGTGGTGTGGGGGGWAAATACTAAACAGAATATATTATCAGTTGCATAAAAATTTAAGTTAACAATGTGAAATTGTTGGATAAATGTAGTAAAGCAACAAATGTAGGCTTTTTTAAATTGGCATTTGCAAACACTGTAGGCAGTTAGGGTCTATTCTGTACACAGGTTTTAACCCAACTCTAATTTGGTTTACTTCTATTAGGTACATTTTTGACACTGAAGTAACACGGGATATTAAACTAGATAATAATCACTTACCAGTAAGTAGTTTTTCAGTCAATAGTAGTGGAATACTTTCAAATTGAYTTAAAAAACGTTTTAATCACCTAACTGTAGACTAAGTCTGCAGTGCAAATTGCATTTATTGAACAAATGCATATCGCTCACAGCCTTTAGTTTAAACCAGAGATTTAAACTAAAAACTCAAATTTAAACTGAATTAATTAAAATCTGTCCAGTTTTTCAAAAGAAATTTTGTTAACAGACAGACCGGCTGACCCTACATTACATACGGAGTATTTGGGTGATGCTCAACTACTACCACATCAAATTCTAGCCTAAAGGCTGTAAAACTGAGTTGAAGCCATTTTTGTCTTGATTAAAGGTCAATTATCTGCGGCAGCCATCTTGAATTGGGCAGACTGGCAGAAGTTAATCAGTTGTAGATGAACCCAATAAAATAATTYCGAAAGGTTCATTAAACGAGCCGATTTCTATTTAAGAGCTTTGATTGTCGATATTTTGTGATTTAGTGGTGGGATTATTCAGATAAAAAACAAAACAMAACAATTAAATAAAAACTATTTYACAGATGAAACAAAGAAACAAGTATTTCAAGAAGTAAATGTGCTCGGTAGACGTTAAAATAACTGTTAATCCATTCGAATAAAGGCTCATGCCCCAGCTGTAGAGATTACAGTAGATTGCTGTATAACCGTTGCTGAAGTTGTGTGGCAGAACATACACACACWCTCWCACACACACACACACCGCGTGAGGAGAGAGAGAAAGAGCCGAGCAATGAAAGGAGGAGGAGAAAGAGAAAGAGGGGGAGACRGCGGCTGCGCTACGCTTACTTCTCCCAGGCTCCGGCCGAGCCTGTGTGGTCTCTCTCCCGCCGCTGTTGCTAAGGAAATGGATGGATTGAATGGATCCGTGGTCCGGGGTGCAACGTCCTCCTCGCCCCCTCGCCACCACCAGCAGCACCCTGTCGTCTCTCACAGAGTGTTTACAGGATTTACTGCGAACAGCGTGACACGTCGGCTCCAGCTCTGCACCAGCCGGGGTAAGAGATTATTTTAAATTCCCTGGTTTTTTTGTTTTTTTTTTTGTTCCCCACCTCACTCAGTTGTTGGATCAAGATAAACACCGACATTTATAAGGCAAAATTTTAATTATTGCTGCATTTGATCTTAAAACACATCTAAAGTGTTTAGCTTGGCTTCAGGTTTTTCAGATGCTGAACAGCATTGGGATGAAAGTGCAGGAGTTAGAGTAGATAAGTGAGGTGAGGACGCTGCAGCTTTAAGCACTGCAATTATCAAACTCATTTCTCCAATAACAACTCTGRAGCATGCGAGAAGGCAGCATATAGAAGATGCACAGCAGTCCCTTGTGCTTTGTTAGCTAGAGTCAGCTCTTACTGGCTCAAGCTGTAGTTTGTTTCCAGCTAGAAAAGTGTGAGGTGAATATGATGAGGGAAAAAACAAAGATGAGAGAGCACAGAGACACGCTCATTTCAATTCTTCTTTCTGATCTCTCTCTTTCAGTCCAGTGGATCTGCAGCTGAGGAACTGGAGGATTTATCTGGCAGCTGGTGCACCACCAAAGAAGGGGGAGAAAGGGCAGGTGCACGGAGGGGTGGACGAGCCCGGCTGRTGCTGGGTGAATGCTGCCTGGAGACGACAACGGCTGAGGCGGCAGCATGGCATCCACCGGCATGCAGATCTTTGGATTTGTCCTGGCGCTGCTGGGCATCATGGGGGCGACGGTGGCCACCCTGCTGCCTAACTGGAAGGTCAGTGCGGATGTGGGCTCCAACATTATCACAGCGATCTCCCAGATGCAGGGACTGTGGATGGACTGCACTTGGTACAGCACCGGCATGTTCAGCTGCACACTTAAGTATTCGGTGCTCTCCCTCCCTGCGTATCTGCAGACTGCTCGCACCACCATGGTGCTGTGCTGCGTGCTGGCTGCCATGGGCCTCTGCCTTGCGTCCCTGGGACTGAAATGCACCCGTTGGGGGGGCGGACGGCGCTCCAAGCGGCACGCCGCCATCGCCAGCGGTGGCTGCTTCGTCGCGGCGGGCTTTCTGTGCCTGGTGCCCGCTTCTTGGTTCACCAACGAGGTCATCACCAACTTCCTGGACTCCAGCGTGCCCGAGAGCAATAAGTTCGAGCCCGGGGGCGCTGTGTACGTGGCCTTTGTTTCGGCGGGTTTCCTTTTCGTGGGGGGGTCTATCTTCTGCTTGTCCTGCTCGGGGAAGAGGCACGGTCCTCAAGAYTTGGTTCTGCTTCCTCCACCTGACAAACTGCTGCTCCAGCAGCAGCAGCAACAGCTGCTCCAGCAGCAGGAGCTCCAGCACCAGTACTGCTCTCTCTCCCCACTAGACAATAAAACTGGCTACAGCCTGCAGGATTATGTGTAAAAAAGCATTGCTGTGTGCGCAACAAACGGCTAAAGGAAGACAAGCCTGAGGGGGAAACCATCACATGCTAAAGACTGGATTTTACTCCAGACTGAGGTGGAGAAACGAGGAGAGAGGAGGGCAACAACTTTGAATTAATCTCTTCTTTTCCATCTTGCTTGTCTCCTTTATTTTCTCCTGTTTTGCAAGCACAAGCAGTGGAGGAATTCCCTAAGCAGCGCCTTGGAACAAACAAGGAGAATGTTTAAGGAGCCAGGATATGTTGCTGCAGAATCGAAGGAAGCCCCAACTAAAAGCAGTCTTCATCAGTAAATCACAATAAGCGCTCCCTAGGGAATGGATTGAGCAAAAACGGAAACCTTCCGCGTAGATTTTTCTCCCCTCTCACCAAAGGTTTGAGTTGAAAGGAAATAAGCAATCATTTAGCTGCTACTTACAATCGCTCGTATCAGTACCCTMTCATTTGATAAACTAGGCAATATAAATGCAGAGTGCAGTGTCTAAAATCCCCTTTCATAGGAAGCCATTGTAGTTTTTCGTATCTACTAGAATGCAACCTGGAATGGATTGAAATAAATGGTCGTGTTTCTGTTAGCTGCTAGAAGGATGTTGATATTTTTGCCACTAGAGCATGCTGTATGGAGCCTGTCTGCGTATTTTAAAAAGTGGAATGCTTGGTAGAAGACTGAACCACAAAATGCCTGTGCCTGAAAAGCTGTAGAAACATAACCCTGCTGTAACTGTTGAAAGAGGACTGTCAGGAGGAAGAGTGGGCTGCTCTGATGGATTTAACTCAAAAACAGAAAATAATAATTGCAGGCAGACCAATGCCTGTGTCTTTCCCCGCAGGTGGAAATATGAGAGAGACGGAGAGAAATACGCAGGAATAGATTCACTGCTTAGTRGACTTTTTCATATTTCTATCATGTAGACACAACCCGCCTGTAAGTAGCAGCTGCTCATCACGATCCATCCCAGACATGCACACCTACGTACTTACACATGCTTTTGTGTGCCTTTTTATGTACCCAGTAAACATACAGCGTTTTTGAATGTGCTTTTCATTCCTGTCATCTGCCTCTGCACTGCCATGGAAACTAAATTCAGTATTTGAGTATCTTTATTGTCTGGGGGGGGAGAGCCGCTTGTCAGTCACTGCTGTTTGAGGGGGCATCATTTTTTTTTTATTTCCACCCGTCATGGCATGCAGTACGCTTTAATCAGAGCTTCTGCTCACATTACTTTCACTAATCTCATTTATTCCTTCTTCTGACGTTCACATTCCATACAAGACGGGGATGAACAGATATTTAGCGGCGCAGCGGCAAAGCTGAGGCAGAGGACGAGAAGCTTCCTGCGAGTCGAACTGATAGCCGGCTCTTAAAAAAGGTTTGAGTCATTCTCCATATGTGACTTGTTTTTCAAGTGCGTCAGCAGAGCGCATATGCTACCAGTCTCCACCTGCGTAAGGTCTCCGTGTCTTAAATTGCATCCACTCGACTGTCCTACCAGTCAATCTCCCTTTTCCCCTTCCAACTCGTTCACCCCTGCCCTGCTTGTGTCACACGGATGTGATTTCTCATGAGAGAACACTGATGCATGTTGAAAGCGTGTCCTCTTGCAAAGCGCACATAAACAAAACTCTCCCCACCTGCTTGCATGTCATTTGCACAGCTTTGCTTTCATGGTTACCTTGCTGGAGGAGAGTACACTTTTACGGTTTAGGGTCAGGAAGGACTGTGTGTCTTTGTGTTTGAGACGGGTCCTTGTAGGCTGCGATGTATAGAACTGCACATTCTCTCATTCTCTCTCATAAACACGCAGCTTTCTGGGGGAGAGCAGATGGCTAAGCACAGATCGCCACCTGCAGGCTGCTGCCAGCACACCACAAGCATCTTTCTGGGCATCACTGGCGGTCTTGGCAGGGCCAGCTTTCCGCCGCACTCTGACTCAGCCCCCCCCGCCCGGCCGACCAAACTGGCCTCCTGACAAAAACTCACTGCCCAGGCAACATAACTGATAAATGCAATAAACAAAGTAAAGAATGTGCCATGTCATCAGCTAAACTGACACATTATGTGTTTTGAGAATGTGCCAAATTGTCTCATGATGACAGGTTTTATTATTCACTGGAGTTATTCTTTGTTTATTTTTTTATTGCGTTGTTTATACATGAATTATGCATTTGAAAAAAAGAAATGTTTTATGGATTTGTGATTTGTTCTGCCAAACTAAATTAACTAGATGCTTGTGTACAGTTCGGTGCAGCTTTCGAGGGTTATTTTAAATCCTCTTTATGCCTCATTTCCCCCAAAGCACAGCGAGACTTCACCGGGTGTGAGCGCTTCACGAAGACGACACGAGTGTTGACGTAGTCGAGTCAGGAAATCTGACCGACTGTTGTTCTGTGTACACAAGCATCTAGGATTTTAGGACAATTTGTTTTCACTGAAAGATTGTTTCAGTATGAGATACGACACTACACTCATGCCATATCTTCTTTATAAGAAGACTACTCAGTGCACTTTTTATTTGTATTACTATTTGGCAACAGTTTGGTTCAAATAACTGAGCATTTCATGCTCTCTGGACCAATTTAAATACATAACACAAGTGGCACTCTGGACAAAAAGGGAGCAATTTCTGTCTGATTGGATTCAGCAGGGAAACAGAAGCTAGAGAGTTCTCTTCTTTGTTGCTGTGCAGCTTAATCATCGGCACGCAATTTTATTTGCTTACAAGTAGCCAGAGTGCAACGTGACTTGGTCCTAAAAGTCTGCAGAGTTACAACTCTCCTGCATAAACTGTATCGAGGTGTTGATTTATGATTTTGATAACTGCAGCTTATTTTTGTGAATGCTTTTAGCACTTCTTACTTTGCCAGAGCATATTTGTGATGATGTTCACAAGTTCTGATACGGTTGTCTCAATGTGCTTGTGCAAGTAGTTCTATTTTTTACCAATAAAACTATTTTGTGAAAGCAAAAAAAAAAAAAAAAGACTGCTGAATGTTGTGTTTCACCTTTCTGCCAAAATCTACATATTGTCCGGATGGGACAGGCTGTTCTGAGTGCAGGCAGGAGGGCAGCCTGGTCATATGCTGATCCTTAAAAAATACAGAACTATCACTCCAAAATATATAAAAAATTAATTAATTAATAAAAAGAGGCACCTATAACACATAACTGTGCAAATTAGTTTAAGAGGACAGATTTCTCTAATACTAATCCACAAAGCTTTTCCAGTTATTGCTCGGTAAACTTAGCTAATGTTTGAATGGAACAACTGTTGTGCTTTTGTGACTAAAAGTTTTACTTTTCTTTAAAGGGGATTTTATTTTATTATTAAATAGTTTACTAGTTTTCTGTTTACAAAGAAAATAGGAGGAACTTTTATAAAGTTGTTTAAAAGACAATTATGTTTGGTAAAACATTGATTAAAACAACAGTTGATCAGAAAAAGGTTGAGTGCTAGTAAATACTGGTACATATAATATAGTGTAAATAAGAAATATTTGTATCATAAATACATATAAATATATGTATTATTATATATTATAAATAAATGTATTAACCAAATTCAAATGAATGTCATGAAGCTATTGGTTAGAGCTGAATATTAATGAGAAAAATAGTAAGTTTTTAACACCATTATTGTCAAAACCACTGAGAACTGAGGGCATTATTTTTTTATTCTTTATAAAAACATACACAAAAAAATGAATCCATTGTCAAAATAAACTCTCCAATATAAAAAAACGGAAATATTACAAAAGCAAGCATTAAAATCCAGAGGGACCAAACCCATAATCAGTTTTTTTTCTTTCAGTGATCAAAGAGCATAAAATGTGCTGCACTGAAACGTCTTCATCATTGAGCAGAGCTTGTTTAAAATCAAATCAAATCCCAGATGATGAGTGTCCTGTAGCCTGCTTTAAAATATATTAAATTGGTTCAGATCTGTTATTTCATTAAATCTGATTGGATTCTCCTCGTTACCCAGAGAGGAGAGTGAGAATATGTCTTCTTTAAAATACCATGGATTATTAAAGGATCTTCTCCCATTCCTCTTGGTTTAAAAAAAAAGTTTGCATCAAACAGACTGTTCTCGTGGGGACGCACTAATAAGATCCGCTCCTCGTGTATTTAACCTATATTTTCTATCAAAGACCCTCACCCTGAGTTGTCACTAAGGCAGATCTGAAATGTAAGCCTCAGACGAGGGATGGTGAGCGCTCGTTAGCTTCAGGCTGAGGTTAATTATCCCTCAACCTTCTCTTTGAACTTTTCCATCGTGAAATTGAGATTATTCATTTGACCTTTCTGAAAAGTAAATTAGCTGTCTTTACAAGCAGGTCTTCCCCAAAAATAAATAAATGAAGGAGTTTTGGTTAAAATGGTACACAAGTGAGTGATTGGCACTAAAAGCTAAAAATCAGAGGACGTTACGGAAGCGATGGGCCATTGTTTATAAATTCTGAAAATATATTGAGCCCTAATGGGGCCTTATGAGTCACCACACCCAACGTGCAGCTCTTTGTTCTCCAGAATTGTTACGCTCGCCAAGGTTCAAACTGAAGATAAAACGCAGTCGTCAACATTGAGGGAGAAATGACCTTTCTTTGTTGGAGCAGCTCTGCTGTGGTCCTGACGCTTGTGTGAGGCTGCTGGAATAATAGCAACGACCTTGGCTGCGCAGTAAACTGCTGACAAAGGCTGTAAAAGCTACAGAGATGACAAAAGGAGAGCTTGTAGGAAAACAATACATTCTGACAGTTCAAAGGAGGCCGTTTAATATTTCAGCTTTGAGTGTTGGGCTGCGCGAGCGCGAGGATTTCTGCGAGCTGAAAGTGAAGGAGGCTAAATGTTTTGAAGGGTGCGATCGTGTTGCGGTTCGGTGATCTATATTTGGCTTCTTAAAGATAATCGCTTGAAAGAATATTCGTTATATTAAAGAAAACTGAGCGCACAGACAGGCAATGACAAGTCGAGGCAGGAGGGTCCCTCGGCACATTTCCACATCTGCTTTGAAGTTCTGATGAAATTCAACCCTCCCACCAGACCCATCCATCCTTCTGTCCCTCTTAACACCTGGAATTAAGCCATGAAATTATGGTGCATAAAATTTCAATCAGGACATTTACATAAGCCACAAAGATAATTGCATACAGATTGATGTCAGCCAATGAAACGGTCTCTTTTGAATTTTTATTAAGTTAACTGGTTCCATTTTAAGTCAGTGGATCATAACTTTATTCATTTGTCACTGAACTTAAATTTAATGGAAACAGCTGGGGTTTAAAATAACTAATCAAAAAATAAACACTTGCACATCTTTTATAAGTGATCAATAATTAAACATCTGATTTTTCTTTTAGAACATGAAGAGAAAAACCGGAGACGTCGTTTTTTTTAAGGTTCCTTCTACTCTTGGTCTACAATGCACCGAGACTGTCTTTTCTGATGTTTACCCTCCTGGCATAAGTCATTGAAATAACTTCCCTCAATACTCCAGATACAGCGTTTGACCCCGTTTATGTGATATGAATAGAGCTAGATGAATTGTGCGCAGAAAAGTGTGGCAGGAGGTGAAAAAGCAGCACAGTCTCTTGGAGTAGATTCTCACAGCTACTGCTCCTGCTGTGGAGGCGAGAGCTGGGTCACGTGGGGTCACAGAGAAGATATCTATCACAATGACTGGGTTTAACTGGACTGAGGYGAAGCATGCGCTTCATTTCAAAAGGATAAATGTATTTTAAAAGACAAAAAACACCAGCAAACGCCTCAACTGGTGAAATAAAAACCACTACAGTATACATCCTGAGTTATAAATWGCCGTAAAGCTGCAGACACACGTGGAGGACACTGAAACTCTCCAAGCTCCTCTAATATTGATRCTTAATGCAGCATTAACAAATTTAATTTAGGCTCAGCTCATCTGGCCTGAGCGCTTGGTAAACAACTATGTACAAGGCAAACAGCTGTAGGGCTCTCCTCTTGTTAGCTGGTGGGTGATGGCTGATGCAGCCATTACTCAGAGCGAGCACCGACAACCATCTGCTGGAGGTACGCCTCATTCACCCCTCAGATCCATCTTTGTCAGGAATCTGTCTTCTGCTGATCTGTACTCTGTGGATGAAGAATCCTTTCTCAAGCCGCGTTTTGCCACRTATTTCACATCCATCCTTTTTTACCTCTCTATGCTTTCAACTGTTTTTGTTGGTCATCTCTTGGGATGTTTTATTTCTTTATGTCTAGTATTTCTGTCTCATTTAAATTCCTCCTATGTCTCCTTTTTTTATCCGTCTCTGTCTCCAATAAAAACCACAGTTGTTGAGAGAATATGGAGGYCTGAAGACAGCCAATTCAGTAAAGAAATTTTTATGGCAAATTTTACAGATCTGCCTCCAGTTTCAAATTCCGCTGAGCAGCAAAAAAGGCAACGAGACAGGACTACAGACATGCCTATCAAGACATGATAAAATCTTTTTATGGAAAAATCAAGCAAAAACTAGAGAAATTGCATTTCCTGCGAAAATGCTAGTGTGAACGCTTCTTGCTGAAAACTTAAGCTGAAAAGCTGCTGAAATTGAGCTGAAAAWTTTTAATAGCAAAAGTGTTAGTGTGACTACAATCTGAACAGTTGAAAGACGCAAAAAAACCTACATTTGTAGAAAAACAGCAAAAAGGAGCAAAATAGAGTTGAAATAGCAGAAAAATCTAAACGCTAAAATAGCTGAATATAGCGGAAAACATATGTAAATAGCATAAATAGTACAAATTAGTAGAAATAAGCACAAAAACAGAAAAAAAATCAGAAGAGTAGGCAGATCTAAAGTGGAAATAACATAAAATAAGCTAAAATTTGCATAAAAATAAGCTAAAGGTAGCAGCTACAAGTTGAATATAGCACCCAGATAGTGAAAGTGGTGTAAGAAATTGTAAAATTAGCAGAAAAAAAAGCATAAAAGTACAAAAAAGTGAAAATTTGTAGTAAAAATGTAGCTGGAAATTCTTTAATTAGTATAAGGAGCACACGTTTGCTGAACTTGGCATAAAAAAGTTGCAATAGCTTTAAAAATGTGTATTTAGCTTTAAAAAGCTAACTTCAGCTAATAACAGCTGAACATTAGCTAGATTTGCAGCAAATAGCTGAATATAGCAGAAAACAACTGTAAGAAGCATAAATAGCACAAACTAAGGAAAAAACACAAAAAAGTAGAAAAAAGCAGAAGAATAGCAGAAAGAAGCTGAATTTTATCTGAAATAGCAGAAAAAACTAAAATCATCAAAAACTTGCTAAAATTTGCAAACAAAGTGAAAACGAGTAGAACTGGAACAAAATGTGTAAGGCGCTGTAAAGATTTAGAAACAGTTTGAAAGATTTTAAGGATGTTGAAAACAGCTCCCTTCATTTTCAATGACAAAAAAAGTGGCTAAAAAAGTGAAATAGCTGCCGAAAAAAGTACAGAAGAATAAACGCTCTCAATAGTGTGAATGCTATGAAGCTTCTCACTGTAGATGAAAATGCCTGATAGCAGCAGGCACTCAAAAACTCCTCAACTCCTGACCAGACTACATATTAAAGACAATCACAATAACAGCAAAAATAGTTATCTTTGTTTAAATAAATTGAGATGTATGTAAAGTGGTGATGAAGTCAAAAGCAGAAGCAGTAATGGAGCTTGATGGAGGAAGTAACGGTGTGCTGCTTCCAGAAAACTTTCAAGGACAATCTCAGTCAATCAATGTGTCACATGTGAAGTGAAGCGCACTCCAGGGGTGAGAGGGACAAATTAAACAACACAGATAAGAGCCTACACCTTCCCACCCCTTGTCAATACGGACCCCAAGAGCAGCTGACCTAAACCAGATCCTGCTCATCAAGCTTAAGRTGGTCCGCTTCTTGAGTTTCTAATTAAGCAGCCAATCAACCGTCACCTGGCCTTTTCTCTCTCTTTCAGCTGGTGTTTTTTATCCCACCAAGTTTGTGACTCTCTCTGATTACATAAATTACACAACATTTAATCACTTCAAATGTTGTTCATACTCCATTTATTTTATAAATTTTATAAGTTGGTRAATGCAGAGGATATCTGTTACTGCTGAGGAAGACAAAATCTTCAAAAACCTTCTGTTGATCAATAATAGATCCAATATGATMATATTGGGACCAGCAAAACTAACACACAAAACAACACTGCATGTCCAGCACATAACAATTACATCACTAGAGCAGTTGTGCTTCAGTTTGCATCAATTCCTCTTCATTAAAACAATCAGAGATCTTTGCGCTTCAGTGGGAGTAAAACTAATGCCTGCAATTACACCGAGCTGATTTATTAAAAGGTATACAACACACACACACACACACACACACACACACACACACACACACACACACACACACACACACACACACACACACACACACACACACACACACACACACACACACACACACACAAAGTCACTAAAAAACTAACACAGGTGGTGTAGCATCTGTGGGGAAATATGAAAAAAATGAGATTTTGTAAAAGAGGGACACATTTGGTCTTACTTTTACAAGCTGCTTCTTTAAATGAGAATCAGAACAACTATATGAACTTATTAATCTGATTATTTAAACAATCTATAGCTGTAATTTGTTTTATCAAGAATAAGCCGAGTCTAAAAGAGATTGACTTTTTCATTTTGATTTTACAAGTTACCTTAGTTGCTAATTTGCAAAGAACCGTCTTCACTACTAAAAATAAGAAAAAATGTTTAGTTTTTCACATYTTTAGCTCATTACTGAGGTACAAAATTTCACTAAATGTCCTGTAATGTATTTATTCTCTGCCAGTGGTAATAAAGAAACAGGTTGAAGCTGGGTCCTTTAAAACAAGGCAGAAAAAATAACCATTTTGTTCACCCTTTATTTTATGACTCRCATTTTAATTAAGTCCCTATCAAACTAAAGGGACTAATTTTACCCAGCTCAAATGACACATTTAAACAAATAGTTATGGCTATTTCCCTCCTGAGCACTGCATACAATTTAATGCTCAATCTTCATCAGCTATGATTTAAAGTTGTGAATCATTTCTACGTTCAACACAAAATGTAAATCCATCATTCTCCTTATTCATTCAACAAATGTGTTTTATTGAAAAGCCTTTGTTTCAGGCAGAAATCTTTACTCCTGAATGTCAWAACCTCAATCGGTCCCCTTCTTGCAGCCTTTAATTTAGTTTCATACATCAGGCGGGACGTTTTTATTGTTCTCGCAGTTCTGCGTAATTACCCTGGCGTGCACCAGTAAACAATGCCGAGCCATCGAAATTTTATGACTTTTGCTGCGTGGCATAATTCTAAAAAAAGGGCCTGAATGATGCTGGGAGGATGATAACATTAAAAGACTCCACAAGCTCCATGATCTTTTATRGGACATCAGCAAAACGAGATCTGCTCATCAAGGAGTCATCATCTGTCATGATGTCAGTTTGACCAAGTGGCCGTTAATACGCTTAGTTTGGATAGATGGCCTGGGCTGGCATATAGGAGGTGCTGACTCATCGTATGGCATGGACACAAGTGCAGGGTGTGTCCTCAAATGTTTACAAATATTTCAAGTTCTCTGGGTTGTTTAAACATTTGATAATAAACTGAATCTGTTCCCAGAAACAGACTCTGCTGTAAAGTTGTAGTCAAGACCACCTAGCCAGAGAGCAAGTCAAGACCAAAACTTTTAAGGGCTGGGCCGAGTCGAGACTAGGGCTGCCACGATTAATCGATTAATCG